TGTGCACAAAACCGAGCCAATAAACCCAAAGTCTCCCAGTCTGGTTTCGAAGCAAAACCGAGCAAATGTCGAAGAATCGCCATTCCAGCATCAAGACCGTCGCGACACTGGAACAACCCTCGAAGTCTCAATAGCTCGGCTTGAAACCGTTCACCTTTCAGACAACACCCGAACTCACAAGAGTTTGGCCTTAAGCCGTCACCCTTTTAAACAGCACCCGAACTCACAAGAGTTCGGCCTTAAGCCGTCATCCTTTCGAACAGCACCCGAACTCACAAGAGCTCGGCCTTAAGCCGTTACCCTTTCGAACAGCACCTGAACTTACGAGAGTTCGGCCTTAAGCCATCACACACTTTGAACAACACCCAAACTCACAAGAGTTCGGCCTTAAACCGTCCACTGTCGAACAGCACCCCAACTCACAAGAGTTTGGCCTTAAGCCGTCACCCTTTTAAACAGCACCCGAACTCACAAGAGTTCGTCCTTAAGCCGTCATCCTTTCGAACAGCACCCGAACTCACAAGAGCTCGGCCTTAAGCCGTTACCCTTTCGAACAGCACCCGAACTTACGAGATTTTGGCTTTAAGCCATCACACACTTTGAACAGCACCCGAACTCACAAGAGTTCGGCCTTAAGCCGTCACATCCTTTGAACAGCACCCGAACTCACAAGAGTTCGGCCTTAAGCCGTCACACTTAGTTCATTCATCAGACCAAGACATAAATGTTTCAAAACAACCTCAAGTTATCCTTAATGCAACAACCAAATTCAATAACCAAAGCGTAAATGTTTCACAAACAATTCAGAGTTACAATCAAACTGACAATAATACTTCTTGAGAGTAGCAACATTTCAAGGCTTGAGAAAGACCTTACCCTCTGGATCCCTTAGCTCACTCATGCGCAACAAAGTCCGCCTCCGTTTCCTCCATGTTCATATACTTGGTACACCTCTCCAATAGCTCGTCATAAGACCTAGCAGGCTTCTTGGCTAATGAGTTTCTGCAGTAACCCGCTTTCAATCCCCTCGTCAATCCGCTAGCCTTTATTTCCTCGGTCGCCGAAGGGACCTCTACACACGCGCGGGTAAACCTGGCCACATACTCCCGTAGGGACTCATTCTCACGTTGCTGCATATTCATTAGGGACATATACGTCTTCTCGTGTTTCCTCGCGCTAGAGAACTGATTGATAAATAGCGAGCTAAACGCATCGAAGCTGTGAACAGATCCTGCGGGTAACTGATGGAACCAGTCCTGTGCCGGACCCTTCAAGGTTGTCAAAAAGGCTCTCGACATTCTCAAAACTCCGCAAATGCCTTGTTGGATCTGAGGACCCATCATAGTATGTACTCGGCTCCCTAAAACTGTGAGGTAAATCGGCACCTAAAACATCATCGGTGAAGGGATGACCCTGCATCCTGAGTTGTCGCATGCCTTCCACTCTTGCTTGGAGCTCTTTTATTTGATTGGCTATCTGCTCCATCACCAATCTCTCCTCTTGATCATCCCTGCGGTGCCTACCGGCCCTTAAAGGCTTAGACATCCCGGGGACATGCTGCTCGACCCTAACCACTGGTCGTTCCGTAGCCACAATAGGTCGTTCCACAACCTCAACGGACCGTTCCGCCTCCAAGGCTGGCTTTTCTATCATGGTGGTATGCTTCTCCTTCATCGCCGCGTCTCGTGCAACCAACGCCTGACCTACCGCCTCCGCGACGATGCGATCCAATTCTTCTCTGGTCATCTGCATCACCGGTCCTCCATCTTCCAGTACCACTTCTGGCACTGATGCCCGTATTACTATCTCCTGGCCTGCTCCCTGGGTCGCCGATCCCTTCTCCTGATCCAAAGGGGGAACAAGGGGAGTAGTGATCGAGCTCTCCCCAGCAACACATCTTTTTGGCGGCCCTCCACCATAGGGTGTCCTTGCTACCCATGCCTCTTCCAAAGTATCGTCCAAATTCCTCCTTGATTGGTCATCCGCGATCGTGTTCGTCATCCTCAATCGGTAAGAGAAAATAGTAAAGTCCCACAGACGGCGCCAATTGATAACACTTCCACACCTCAACCCGGTTCCCTTCCGTTCCTCGTCCGGTTCAAGCTCTCGAAGACCTGCAATGACGCCGGGAGGTGCTCCCGGCGGTAACTCTCCGACGCTCAAGTCAGTAAGGAATAGAAGAGTATAAGAGAATCGTCCGTAAGCGTAAGTAGGGTTAGGGTTTTAGAGTGTCCTCCTTACCATATTCCTCATCTACGTATTTATACCTGAAGGCTTAGCTTGTGCCTCACGCTTCACCTTTCATCCGTTCGATCCCTCTAAGCCTCCTTTACCTTTATTCTTTCATGGGCTGAACACATGGGCCGAGCGGATCACACTTCACCAATCCGCGTTAATAAATGGGCCGAGCAATGTCTACCCAATACCCTATCCTTTAGATACATAAATGGGCTGAACAACCCATACTTGGTGAAACTAACTTGTAAGGTCTTGAAGAAAACGAGCAACTAAAGCTTCCATGGACCGTCCCGTTACTTAGACCGAGCTTACTCATAAAAACCGAACCGAGTATCTACCGGGTAAACCATATCACTCTTATGTGCCATATCACATTACTATAAAATTTATGAATTCCTCAGCATATTCATTACCAAGCTCATATATTATATTTGCTCCTTTTTTTTTTCATCAAGAAAAAATGAATTATTATAATTTTCATATCTCAAGTGGAGGGCAAAAAAAGTAAAAGACAACCTTTATACAGCTGAGTTAAGATTCCAGCTTTCTCATTGACACCTAATAAAATTGTGGGCACTGCACATTAATTAATGAATAAATAAAAATGGAGAAATACACAACAAACACACGTATAATATAATTCACACACTTTACAGTTTTATTTATTTGCTAGTACAATGCTCGTGTGTTACACGAATTTATTTTAATTTTTAAATACTTTCTTGATTAACTATTTTATTATTTATATTTAAAATAACACTCAACACTTATACGACATTCATCTATACTATAATATTTGTTTTTAAAATTATATTATTTGACAATTTTGTAATTAAATTGATTTAAATAATTTTATTTTTTAATTAATATTAACGGGTAATTTAATTTTTATTATAAAGATAAATATAGTTATTTATATATTTGTACGTACAATATAAGTGTCAAATCGAAGCTCATCAAGACATGATTAATGTAATATATTATTGTATAAAAAAATGATAATAAATAAAAAATTATTCACTTTTAAATCTACTTATAATTTAAGTTGGTATATTTTCATAAATTTAAAAGAAAGATTGAGGAAAAAAATGCCTATAAATCATGTCTAGAATCAGAAATAAAAATATTGTAACATGATTATTAATGATCTTAAAAAAGATTATAAATATCTATTATATTTATAGTTATTTTAAACATATTTATTTTTAGATTATTAGTAACTAAATTCATCCAAACCAAATCACACAACATGAAAATTTGTCATATAGTATCCGAAACATGCGAGTCTACCCTCGGCACATTCGTGAATTATATATAAGAAAGGGGACATGAGAATATATCTATATATATATCATTACTAGCTCATGCATTTAATAAAACATTTAGTAAAACCTATTTTCATTTCCCTCCAAAAGGAGTAACATTTTTTTAATTAATTACTCATTAATCTACTAAAACTATTACACATTAATATATATATATTTTTATTTTTTAGATCAATTACTAAATTAATTCTAAATATGGTAGCATAATATTCAAAAGTGTAACGGTAATGTTGGAATTTAAAGTTGATTGACACATTCAGAGCTGTAACCGCTATATTTGATTGTATTGTCGGAAGAAAAATATGATTGGGCACATATTTTTTTTTCTAAAAATCAAAAACACTAATAATTTTTGTATTTATATTAATTTTTTTAATATATGCCACAAGTATATAAATTATTTTATTCATGTTACTAAACGTTGCATGGTTATAATAAAATTTAAATTTCAATTAATTTTGAATGATAAAAAATAACTGAAGAAAAGGTAATAATTTTTATATTGGTAAAAGTACATGTCTAATTAATAAATACAAACAAAAACGTATTTTATATTTGTGCAAATGCACAGGATGAAATACTAGTTTATTACTAATTGTTTACATATTTATCTAATCGAATATAATTTACATACATAATTATTTATGCCAAAAATAGCCGAAAACAAGAAAGAAAAACAAGCAGGAAAAAAGTTTCTTTGACGCACACACCCATCCCCTCTCTCGTTACAGAAAAACCGCACAAGAACCGATTTTTCTGGCAGCGTTGAAACCCAGAGACGCCGGGATCTGCCAATTCTTGATGAGAAATATCAAATCCGACAACATTTTTCTCGGCTGATGACTGAAAATGTGAGCTTGTTTTCATTTCCTTTTTCTTTTTTGTTAAAAAATAATTTCTTGTTGTTGATTTTCATGAGTTGATAGTTAACAATTTAATCTGGTTTGGAGGTGTTAAAACTCTGTCAATCCACATTGTGCCTGATGTTATCCTTCAATCTTGAAAGTTTTTTTCTTTTTTTTTTTTTTTTTTT